CCCTCGAGCTGCTGCTGCTTATTCACATGTAGGCAGTCTCATGCATTAATATTCAAATACTTTGTCTCTTATTACTCAGCATAGTCAGTAAAACTGTCACGTCATGGTAGGAAAAGCACACAATCTAATTAATAAGTTGATGAAGTGACTCGATGCTCATTTATATATACAGTCTATGATTCTACTGGAGCAGTAATCAGTGTTTCTAGTTACACCTGTGCTTTTTCTGATATGTTTTCAAGTATATAATTAGATTAGATTTGTACCGTGTTTTAATTTAATTTGTGTTTTAGCTTGTCTTAGAAAGATGTATCTCCTCAGTTAGGTTGTGAGCCACGATATATTGAATTATATATATTTAAAAATAGTGATTTGATTTAGTAGAGGCCTCAAACTGAAATTGATAATCCAAAAATAGCTATTAAGAGGTGTTACTATTATCTGAAAGATTTTGTAAACACTGTAATTAACTTAGCAAGTACTAAATAAATAAATAGAGACATGACATATGGTGTTTATTCATAAGTACAGTGATGGGATCGGGATGTGAAAATGTGGAGGATGTTGACCTTGATGGTGTTTTTGGTGTTAACTTCAGTAATGTGTTTATGTGGACGTCAGCAGGAGCTGTCCACAGCAGAGATGTATGATGAGAGGAGTGATCTTTGTGTGTCAGTGTTTCTCAACTGTGCACATGCCACATGACACACTCTGTGAACTTTGAACACGCATGCAAACACGCACATCACGTCACCAGGTTATTCAAATAGACATCCTGTAGATGTGATGAGCTGTGACAGGAGATGAAGGACAGTAAGAGGGGAGCAGAGGAAATGTTTAACAGGAAAATACAGTAAAAAGTAACCAAAGACTGATAAGAAAAGGAAAGTAAAGAGGGAAAAAGCGTGTTTGTACCAGAGTTGAGTCAGAGATAAAGCACATCCAGTAAAGATTACAAGAGTATGTGTCAGTCTGTTGGAATCTGTTCGGTAAACTGTGTGTGTGTGTGTGTGTGAACTTGTGTTTACCACATTGTGGGGGAGAACATCTCTTCACACACTCACAATTTCAGGACTTTCCTCCCAATACAGGTTTAAGAGTTGAAGGAGAAGTTCACCCCGACAATCTGAAACATGTATGTTAATATGTACTTTACCTTTAGAGCTATATATCAATCGAAATTGTGTGTTGTAGTTTTGGAGAATTCTGTGGTAGATGTCTGCCTTGTCTTGAACATAAATAATAATACAAAAACTAATAATTTGACAAACTCTACAGCAATGTCTCTGTCCAGAAATCATGACCTCAAATAATCCAGGCCTCTGTTGTCAGCAGGTTAATCTATTTTCTTTCTAACAAACAACAACAACCACGACCCCTATCAATGCACAGAGGGAATGCTCGTGCTTGTGTGAGCATGAGATGAAAAGTACAGAAGCTGTCTGTCACCATAAGAGAATTTATCTGTGTCTTTCTCTCTCCTTACCGGCTGTTGCCCCTTCTATAGCTTTTTTCTTAACTTTATCTTACCCAAAGACACACACACACACAACACACCACACACACACACACACACACACACACACACACACACACACACACACACACACACACACACACACACACACACACACACACACACACACACACACACACAGCTGTCTACACACACATTGATTGGGTTTATAGCTTGTTAGGAAAGGGGATATTGTATTTCAGCTCTGCTCGTTAAGAGTCAGCACTGATGTCACTCTGGCCCCTCTTTATGTAACACACACACACACACACACACACACACACACACACACACACACACACACACCACACACACACACACACACACACACACACACACACACACACACACACACACACACACACACACAAAAAAGAGAGAGAGGCTATAACATGGGCTGGAACAGAGCTTCAGTCGCCTTGAGTTCTGGCAGCTCTCTGTGTGCACATGTGGCTCTACCATTTCGCAATAACTAGTTACAAATAAAGTCCTGCAAAAATACATTTATCTAGACGTTTTGATCCTATCATCCCTCTCCCATGTACTAAAAAATACCGTAATTATACTGTGTGTAACAAACAAGGCTATCTCTCTGCATTTCTGCATTTTCCATCCTTGTTTCTCCATATGTGAATGCCTTCATGATAACACTTACTTAATTAAGTAAATGTGTTTAAAATAAGCTGCTACATGATAAATCACTGGATATTATTTCGCAATTATGAATATTACTAAAAGCATCTTACAGGCATCAGAGCAGCAGATGTGTCTTTCTGAATGAGTTCAAGCCTTAACAACATGATATCGTGACATTATGAGCGCTCTGGAAACCATTTTGAACTTGAACTACCTCAAAGATTGTTGGGCCTGATTTCATATAAAGATCAGAAAACGACTCACACTTCAACTGTTATGTTGGTGCTACCTGTGTTTACAGTTTGTGAGGTGTGATTACATGTTCCATTATAAGGCTTGGTTAGATTAACACCCCTTTTAGGGTAACATTTCATTAGATTCTACATAAATATTTACTGTTTCAACATCATTACTTGTTACAGGCCTTGTGAGGTTCGTTAAATAAAAAGGATAAAATCAAAGCTGAAAATCTGACTTGAGACCAAGACAATAAAACAAATGTTGTGGACTCTTAAAGTCTTTCTGGTTTGGTTTTCCAGCAGATTTTCGTTTCATGATTGTTAATGAATGGTTGTTATTGTAAAAGGGAATGATGTGTATGAGTCAGTGTGAGAACAACAGCAGAACATCAGTAAATGGGACCTGGCACAGCTTCAGTCACAGAGCAGTGATGTAACCAGGACACAGTCGGCCTCCTCATTATGTGCTCACACTGTGTGTTGTCAGGTAGAGGAAAGCTGTGTTTCCCAGACAGAGTGAAGTCAGGGCATGACCCCACGAACAGCGAGACAAACCAAATGTCACATGGCAGCCTTCAAAATAAAGCTCTTGCATAACCACGAGGGCCTGGAAGCAGAGTCTGTATGTGTGTGTGTGTGTGTGTGTGTGTGTGTGTGTGTGTGTGTGTGTGTGTGCGTGTTTGTCTGCATTACCCCAAACATGGCTCACATCTTATCCCCTGCCTCTGATGTGCATCAGCTGAGCGCAGCATGGTTGTTGCATTCTGTTATCACAAAGTTCAAAGTTAAATTCCAAAACATTACTGTAGCCATAACATCATTAAAAAACGTGTTCAATTTGGTGCCCAAAATACAACAAGAAGCATGTGTTGTCTTAAAAATTGAGTTGAGGGCCTGTTTTGTGTGTTTAACTTAGAGCTGCAATGAAAATAATGATTACCATTTTGACATTTAAGTTATTTTTCATGCAAACATGGCAGAAAATGCTGTTTTCAGCCTCCTAAATATGGAGATTTCCTGCTTTTCTCTGTTTAATATCATGCAAAACTTGTTGATTTTAGACTGACAGAATAAGAAAAAATCACCTTGAAGATTGAGAAACTAGGATAGACTTTTTAACCCCTTTTTTCAGACATTTTGTATTGATTGATTGATTGATCTAAAATAATCGGCAAAGTAATTAGTTGTGATTTGCAGCCCTGTATCTGATACCTGTATCTGTACCCTCCTGACTCTCTTTCTGGTATAATTTGTAAAACTCTTTTGATGAGGAAACAGTACAATGTGCACAAATGATATAGACTCTGTACAAATGCATTCCCAAAAAACGAAACAAAATACATATTCTCTTTTACAGCCTGTGGACTGTCACAGGGAGTTATATTTAAAACACACACACATTCCCCAGTCCCGCCGCTGAGCACACAGCCTCAAAACCAACAAAACACAGCATGTATCAAATATTCTTTATTTCTCAGGGTATAAAACTTCTGTACAAACATGTCTTTCTCTGACTGACGTCCTTGGTGACACAGAGAATTCAGTGTCAGCATGCTTTCTGTTTTTAAATGTCTCTGTTACAATGTTTTTACATGCTGGAGAAAGGATGTTTCACACAGGCTGAGGGAAGCTCCTGGTGTCTCATGTGAGTGAGCTCAGGTGTGCTTCAGGGGGTAACCTCAATAAAACCCTGAAATCTCAAGAATGAACCTTTCTGTCTGTTTCCCCAGGCGGTCTGCTTTTTGTTTTACCTCACTGGACTTTATGGGATATTGTTGTACAATTAGACTTGTGTGGGAAGGCAGTGTTGAGAAAAACGAATGCAGTTACGGTAATCCCAGGTCAGTCACGTAAAGCAACAATTGTATTTGTATTTTATTGGTAGATTTCTACACCCTTTTGTATCACAAAAAACGGAAATCATTGCAGTCATACCTATATTTTACAGACTTTGCATCCGTCCCAAACACAGAGCATTCACATTTCTGTCTATCCTTCAACCAAACCCCAGAACCAACACATAACTTCCTATCCAGTCACCTTCCTGTCTCTTTTCTGACTCTCTTTTAACACCTTAGTTCACTTTCAGAGACTTATCTGTTCAACATTACAAAGCCATTCACCTGTCATACAGGGTATACTTTGCTTTTAGCCTATTCTGGCTCCTGAAAGCAGGTAAAACATTCAAATGAATAAAACATGCAAGCAAAGACTTCAAAAATAAAATGTTTGATTTGAACATTGAAATGCAGACCTTCTTATCAGCATACTTTGTTTTGCTACTAGCGTGACTTTGTGTGGTTCAACCAATCTATCAGTGAGGGAAATTATGACTCTTCTCAACTCATGTTACTATTCACATTTTGGTACATAACATTATCATTTGTAGCCAGAGTTGACAGCATGAACGCACTTTAAAGGGTTATAGTATATTTTGTTTTCATCATTTTTCAGTTTTAATGGATTCAAGCAGGAATAATCTAACAAATATTTGTCTCAAAATAAAAGGCAGGCTTGAACCACATGCATGCAAACAAACACCTTGTGATATGAAACGTTCTGTACTCTCCATAGATTATACATACTGTATGAGAAGGTAAAACGGATGAGACCTGCTAGAGGAAATGCCAGCTATCATAAGGGTCTGTCTGACCTTTACCCCACTTAAATCCACCATCAACCAAGCCTGCACCCAAACAGCAAGACAAGCAACTTATTATGACGTTTTTCCCAAGCAAGAAACAATGCATTTGCTATCATGAGTAAAACATCGGGACACAGTGAACCCATTCATCCACAGTTGTAAAATCTTCAGCAGAAAGTTACCAAACAGCTTCAGGAAACACACTTCTTCAACGTTTTGCACTCAGGCCTCTCATCAACATTATGAGTTCAAATACATTTTAGAATAAGTTCTCAACTCTCTCTATGCATTGGTTTACAGGTTGTAGCCAATTAGTAGAGCAACCGTAAGGTCAGTTAGGGTCACACACTGAGTTCCTCTGCAGAAGAGTCTGTTGGGAGACACACTTGAAGTTATAGTCAGTGTTACCAGTAAAAATCTAGATAGAATAGAGTCATGCATATTGTCTGCTATGATTGTACATGTTCTAGCTGTCTTGTAACACTTGAAACATGGCATGACTGCCAATCTGTGAACATTTCATTTGTAAGTTTTAAGACATTTCTTCACAGTGCAATTACATTTAAAAGCACTTCACAGATCACTCCATTTCACACTACATTCTAGAAAAAGCTAATGCTATTCTGCTTCTCTTACATTGATGAATACATTTCTTAATGTTCACGTAATTTAATAGGCTTTTCATCATACACTTGACTTAAACTGCTCCAGAGCAGAGTTTTGGCGAGCTTTTTAGGGTCATAATGAATATTGTTGAGATGAACACATATTAACTATGCAGATGTTAACTCTGCACTCCTTACCCAATTCATAATCTTTGGGTTGGAGAGAAAGGTTTAAGTTGGATTTAGACGGTGGTTAAGGCCATGATTTAGATTGTCCTAATGCTAAGAATGCTAGAGTATAAATGTGTTGTTTTGTTTTTATGTCTGATCTATATGAATGATGATGTTGCTCACAAAAAACTGTCCGGTTTTCTTTGAGGTCATTACAGACTGCGACCTGGTTGCACCCTTTTTCTTTCTGCTGCAGTGATACAAAGAGCCATTCAGATGAAGGCACTGTAGAGAAGTAGTTGTAAATAATTGGGTTTTGTTCTGCTTTAGTAACTACAATGTACAAAGGAAGGTGTGGCAGCTGAACGTTGACATCAACATATTATGCCTTTTTTTTCTGCTTTACAATGTGTGTCCTTATCTTTGGAGAGAGGAGATGCTGCAAAACTAACCAGGCATAATGAGATGCAGAGTTACCAAAATGACCAATGGTTAATAATAAAGCATACTTTGGGTAAAGGGAACAAACACAGATCAACAAACCTGACTAATGCAAATTAAGTTTAAAGAAAATATTTCAGTGAATATGTACATAATTAAAACTTCACAGTCTTTTAGATACACAACTGCATTGAAAAGCAAAGATACAAAATTCATCTTTTCTGCAAACCTACATGAACAAACATCTGAACCCATTTGGTAAACACATGCAAAGGGCGCCGAGTTGATCTAATTCTGATGAGTGCTCACACTTACAGTAAAGCTGTGTAAGTGTGTGCAAAGATAAATCAAACACCCCACAAGCAGTACACATATCTGAAGCCAATATAGTATTTTCTAAGTCTTTCAGAGCTGTTCAGTAATATTGAAGGATAGGTCTGTGTAGAGGAAGACCTCCAATATTTGAAACCTGACAAACATGCAATGTTGTGCCTTCGAGATAAACATACAACTTGCAGTAACAGAACAATGCTAGGGTTTTATCACATGGATGTTCTGATATTTTTTCTCCTGAAGGAGAAAATATATAATTATTTTTCAATTAAGATACGATATGAGCCTAAAGCTAGGCTTCAGCAAAAAGAATGAGTGTTCTGGTTGTTTTATTGCCCAAATAGTGAGAAACAAACTCAAAACCAAGCCAGACTTATCCCACAAATAGTTCAAATCGAGACCAAAATAAAAGATGAACTATGTTTCTGGTTTCAGATTAGGTTTTTAGGCCACACCAGAAAAGAACCTATCGATCTGTTTCTTGCAAAGAGGTATTTTAGCATGAAAAACACCATAAAAATTACTAATGGAATAGGAAAGGTCAGCCTTAATAAACAACAATGTTTTGTCTGAGAGACGCACTTTATCAGGAGGCAGTTCTTTCTAATCATGAGTGTTGGAGACAAGATAAAAAAAGGAAGTTCGGAAGCAGTTTCAGTAAGTCAAGCTCAGTAAGTCAAGCTCACCAAGCGACCAAAAAGCATACTAGGTTGGGAACAAGAACACCAGACTAAACACGCTTACATTGTAAGTGTTAAACATAGACAAGACTTTCTGGACTGGCCAAATGTTAAGGAACATTATCACATCCACCATGACATAGAGCGATATCCTGTTAGTCCCAGTTGATGGCGATTCAATTCCGGAAGAGTTGGAAAAAGGACACTGCGGTACTGCTTATATTTGATAGCAAATGTTGTTAGAACTCAGTACTTAATCTCATCGACAAGATTCCCTCTTGGAATAAAAAGAAAAAGTAAAACATTTACGATCCTTGTCAGTCTTACTTTGGTTCCCAGTCACAGTCAAGTCGAGGTCCTTCTCCACGTCAGGCTCGAAAAGAGAGAAACCCAAACAGAGAGCGACTCAAGTTGAATCCAGACCAGAATAAGTCAGTAACAGAGAATCTTCACACGTCGGTCTAGGCCACACAGCAGTACCTTTTCCACCAGGACTTGGACAGACTCTTCATCTTGTCCGGTGTCTGCCTTTGCTTTTTCCGTCGTTTCTGCTTCCCTCTGGGATGCTTTTTGTTGGAGCTGCAGCTCTGCAGGCTGGCCAGTATGGCTGTGTCAAACACTTCTTTTAAGTTCTTCTGGGTCAGGGACGAGCACTCCATGTAGGCCACAGCTCCGATATCCATGGCACATTCCTGGGCGTCTGCTGGGTCCACAGGTCGCTCCCTGTACTTAGCCAGGTCAATGAGAACCTAAGAGAAGAGGAAACTCAATGTTACCATGCGTCTGTAGAGCTTGTATCTTCTTATTTGTTAAAGAGGAAGAAGACACTTGCAATGTTCTTCTTCAATCAGTGATCATTCAAAAATACAAAGAAACAGGGTTTAGGATCGAAGAACTGGCATAACATTGACACTTTTCTGTTTCTAGTTTGTGCTATTGTGTGACTTTCATGAATCTGAATTTGTATTTTTAAAACAACAAAGTCACACAACATTAAAAATAATACAGTTAAGGCAGCAACTAGTGCAAACTGCGATGTAAAATTACTGTTTTTGTCAATGTAGAAAAAGAGCAACCTCATACATCCCCACTTCAAAACATCTGAATTATCACTTTAGTAACATTATATATTTCTAAACACAATTATTGTGTTTAAGGTGCTATTTAAATATGGCTGATCTGTCACACTGTCGTGTCTTACAAGGAGACTTCAACAGAACAAGATTCATTGTTAATGTGATCAATAACATGTGTGCTTTTTTTCTAATGGCAATCAAAATGTCTGTTGTGAAAAACACATGTGTCAAATGGGTCAAATTGTGATTCAGAATTTTCAAAGCTAGTGGTTTGAACTTTGTCAGAATAAAGGCATCACTTTGTCTAGCATATTGCAACTTCTTTACGTTCTCTCTACGTCAGTAAATATTCCACCTTGACATCTTCTCGGAGGTCACACTGCGTCCCAACGAGGACGATGGGTACAAAGGGTGCATGTCTCCGGATCTCCGAGATCCATTTCTCCGGAATGTTCTGGAAGGAGGCGGGACTGACAACGCTGAAGCACAGCAGGAACACATCTGCACTGGTGTAGCACAGAGGACGCAGCTTATCAAACTCATCCTGGAGGGAGGAATCAAGATAAAGAGAGAGATACGTTTTGAGGATGAAGAGATTTGACAAATGCAGCAGAGAAGAGACTTGAGGAGTATTTGGACAAAAAACAGAGTATGGTACAGGATAAGAAAGACATCTACAACGTTCTGCATATCATGTCTTTCCAAAACAATGTCTGGTGCTACTCAGTGTCTGTTCTTTATGACAGATGATAAACTACGAGGATATGTTGAGCTTTTCCTCCCTGACGTGTTATCTCTGAGTCTATCCTTCCTCTGCCTGTGATCCTCCCATTCATTCTGCCATCACATCTGAAAACACACTTTGTTTGTTTTAACAGATAAACTTAAATTGTTACATGGTCAACATTAGGAATACAACTATGATTTTTTTTCATTATCATTAATTCTGCAGATTAATTTCTCGATCAATCGACAAGTTGTTTGGTCTGTAAAATGAAACAAAATAGAGAAACATTGCTTTCAGTGATTCTCAAAGCCAAAGAAACGTCCTGAAATGTTTGTCCACAGCTCAATTATTAGTTGCAGTCATAAAGGAGTAAAGAAAACTGAAAATATCGCATTTAAGAAACTTGAATCAGAGAGGTTTGAGTTTGTTTTCTTGAAGAAATTACTAATGGATTAACCTCTCCAGTATAGTTCACAATAATTTAAAGTTTAATTAGTTGAAGCTCAATTATTGGTTTTATTTCAGAGAACAGCTGCTGCTCTTCCAGATGAAAAATGCATCACTTCCTGTGCGACATCATTTCCCCAGGAATTACCTGCGGGACAGTTTGAGCTCACCAACAAAGACATCAAATCCAACTGAGATGTTTAAACGTTTTAGCATATTTAGTTTAAGACTTAACTTAATCTGTGTGCCTATTATCTGCTCACCATGTCGGTCAAACTACATTGTCATTTAAAAAGATATTTGGATAAAGCAGCCAAACCTTTTTATAAGAAAACTGCAGCAACATCTCTGAATTGCCATGATAAAAAAAACAAGATATTTGTTACGTTTGAGAAAAGTTTTCAATTAAAACTTGTAGGGTAGACTAAGTGTTGGGGGTGGTCTTTGTTGCATGTCACACCACCTCTTTCGTCTTCCCACGTTTCCTGTCTAGCTCTACACTGTCAATTATGAAAACAAAAACAATAATGCCACTCACAAAAATACAATTTGTGTTTGAGTATACTTCTCTTTTCAAATAAAGAAAGAGAGAAATAAGGTTTTAATCTTCATCACATGGTCAGAGGTATTGTTTCAAACACAAATACAACTAAAACAGGAAATGCTGCTGCTCACTCTTCCCCTCTGTGTGCGTATTGTGTGTGTGTGAGTGTGAGTGTAAGTGTGTGTTGTGTATTTGTGATGAGGTCACTGACCTGCCCGGCTGTGTCACAGAGTTGTAGTTTGACTGGATGCCCGTCCACTGATACCACGGCTGCACACACAAACAGTGAAGTCAAAGTCCAAGGTGAAATCTTTAAATATCTTATTTGGTCAAAGATGTTCAGTTAAATAATAATAAAACAGAAAAGGGCAAGACATCTCAATATATGCAAGGCTGAATTCAGCATTTTGTAAAATGTTTGCATAAAATTGACTTTAGCAACTATTTGTGCAGAGCATTTAAAGTGAAGTTGGCAATACAATCGTGTAACTTCGGTTAACTCCAAATTACAATTTATTAAAAAAAAAAGGGAAAATAATCCAAGTAAAAGATTGCCAGGTATAACATGGGGTGAAAATATACAAATACAATATAATAATCTTGGGGTAGATTTACAAATAAATAAACAGAATATCTATGTATCTATTCTTTCCTACAGTTCATGTTGTTGTTGCACTGTCCCTTTACAACACTGCAAATGTCTGCAAAAGACTATCTGAAATTATTATTTGTTCTACTTTTTAGTAGGCATCATCATCATCAATCTCATCATCATTATCTTCCTCCTTTACCTGAGAAGTTGTCAAACGCGGTGGGCACGTACTCGGTGGGATACCCATTGGTGGTGTAGCTGACCACCAGGCTGGTCTTCCCCACAGCTCCATCCCCCACCAGCACACACTTCACCCGCCGCGTCCTCCCGGAGCCCCGGACCCTCCTCGGTGGGACAGGCGGAGCAGGGGACACCGGGGCCGGCTTGAAGCACCCCTCGCCCCGCGGAGGCATCTGGCACGGAGAGGAGGGGGACATGTAGCCGGAGGAGCCCCGGGCAGGAGGCTCAGTCCCGGGTCGGGCCAGTGTTCACATCGTCCATTCCTCCGTGATTATCAGCCGGTGTGTCAACTGACTTCTCTGCTGTCCGCCTCACTTTAGTTTCCATTTTAGGTTAATTATAACAAGTTTGAACTTCTGCTGTTCACACAAAGCCACAAAGCTGACTCTGTGTACACTATGAGCTTCATGGTTGAATTAAATGTGAATTAAAGTCCGATTAGTAGAGCGCTGATTCAATAATGTCACAGTCTGTGTCCGTCCAGCCGTCCAATGGACAGACCCGTCCCAAACTCCCCTTCAAATGACATCACAGTGTGTGTGTGTGTGTTGTGTGTGTGTGTGTGTGTGTGTGTGGTGTGTGTGTGTGTGTGGTGTGTGTGTGTGTGTGTGTGCGTGTGTGTATGTGTGTGTGTGTGTGTGTGTGTGTGTGTGTGAGAGGGAGTGTCATCAAGCTTGTATTAGTAATAATAATAATAATAATAACAACAATAATAATAAAAATAATAGCAATAATTATAATAATACAAATATAACAATATTAATAGTAATAATAGCCCATTTATTTTTCATAACATTACACTTATTTTTGTCAAGTCTATTTGCCTGAAACGTTTTACTGTTGACAAGACATGTGGGACCTCTAGTGGACAGAGTGGGAAATAAAGATGACGTAAAAATATTGTTTAAAAAAACATAATAACATTTCATGGGTCTCAGACATAGACTGTATATATAAAGGTCTCAGAGAGTGTCAGGTGAACACATAATGGGTGTCCCCCGAACAGCATTAGCCTCTGTATTTCTACAGTGTATTTATACTTCGAGGACTGCGGAGTGCGGAACGAAACACCTGCGGATCGCTGTTTCCTCACGGACCCTTTTCTGAACGGCACCACATTTTCAAAACATGTGTTGTGAACGGTTGTGAAGCAGGATTTATTCTGTCAGTTTTTAACATATCATATTCATTTCTCTAAAATGTCCGGAGGTCGCAGCCTGTTCTCGGAGGAGGTGGTCCTCGGCTTCCTGGAGGAAGTGGAGCCGTGGCGGCTTCTGGCCCAGCAGTTCCCCAGCAAAGTGGGGGGGAGGCCGGCGTGGCTGAGCCGGACAGGCCTGCCCTCCCTGCCCGGGCTGCAGTGTGAGATGTGCCGCCTGCCGATGGCCTTCCTGCTGCAGGTCAGTGTCCCGGAGAAGCCATACATATTTCTTTTTCACAGTAAAATATGCTTTAATCTTAACCCATAAGGACGGAGACCCACCGTGACACAGGTGTTACATGACGTTTAAATGCTCCGGAAAGTTCCTTATACAGATTTAGCCTTTATTTTATCTCATGAAGTCCCTAAGTGACACACTTTTTTCTTTTTTTAAATTCATTCTTGTTCTGTTTAACCCTTATTTATAACCAGGAGCATCCCCTTGAGATTAAATACTTTTTGGAACTGTGGAGACCTAGCAAAGTCAGCACTACATAGTAACAGACAGAACACATTCAGAAAAAAGTAAAAGTAAGTAAGTCAACCACAAGAAATATAAAAAAGGTAAATAAAAAAAAATGTCAAACAAAAATATTCATCTTTAGGAAGCGGCCTTGTTTGGTTGTTTTACATTGTGTTGTAAAAGCATTTGATTAATATGTTTTCTAATTTAAAGTTTGAACCAGTAGAATCAAGACAAAAAAATATCATTGAGTAAAAGTGTAAAAAAAATATTAACATTACTTTCATAGACATTTCAAAAGAGAAAAGACATCACAATATGAAATACATTTTGGCAGATTTCCTTTTAATATAATAGTTATTTTCCTCCCTTTTTATTATGAACAAGAAGCTAACATCTATTTACAATATCAGCCCAATTAATACGATAATTAATGTATGAAATGTAAAGTACTGACTTCCTGCATTTTCCTTTCAGGTGTACGGACCAATTTCTGGTCAGGACAGAAGTTTCCACAGAACGCTCTTTCTGTTCTGCTGCAAAACTCACGAGTGCTACACGCATAACGACAGCCGCTGTTTTAAAGGTACCTGTAACAGTGATTGGTCCTTACTCCTTAATGTTTCACATGTTGTCCCATGAGGGCAGGATGTCTTTCTTAAAGGTCTCCTATCATGCAAAATGCACTTTTTAATGTCCTTTATACATAAATATGTGTCCCCGGTGTGTCGGGGAACTCACAAAATGTCAGGAAGTAAAACCCTCTCTCTTTTCTTCCGTACCCATATCTCTAAAAACGGGGGTACAACAAAGCTGATCCAGATTTTCTGCCGATATGACGTAATATCGGAAAGGTGGGCTGGCTTTACACCCACGGCACTATCAGAAAGTTGCCATCAGAAACAATGCACAACGTAATATGGTCTTTGTTTACATTAGCAAACATGCTAACACTCAGAGCTAACCTGTACCGGAGAGAGTATGTGTAAAAAAGCAGAAAATAAAAAAAGGAACTCACCTTGTGGTAAAACCGCAAGAGAAAAGCATTTGAGCTCCAAACTGTTTCAGAAATAATCCTTGATGTGATTTGGAACATGATACGCGTTTCATCACGGGAGCATTTAGCTGTATCTGTGGTAGAATTCTGAGCAGGCACAAGCTCCCCCTCCTCTTATTTTCTTTCTCTTATATCTGAGACCCATAAAAATAGCATGATAGGAGATCTTTAAGAGTAAGTGTAATTTTTCCGATTTTGAACTTTCCTCTTCCCTTTTCAGTTTTCAGAAGCCAGGTATCGAGGAGGAACGAGTTTTACGCCTACAACCCTCCACCAGGTTGCTATTTTTTTTAATAATTTGCAGTTGACATTTTTCTCATTGTGCAGTTTTCAAAGTACTTCAGAATCAGAAACAGGTTTATTGCCAGGTAGGTTCACACATACTGGGAATTTGACTTGATGTCATGGTGCATACATAAAATATAAAAAACAAGAAATCTAATATAAAACAAAAAATCTTTTACACCGTAATAAAATACAGTTAAATAGCAATAACATTTAAATAAAGCAGTAATTTACATGGAAACAGAATTGTATTAAACGAATTTTAGAATATAAAATGTGAAATATGAATATGTGCAGAAAGGAGTATGAACATTGTGTGCATTAATGTAATGCATATAGTCTATGATGTGGCAGAGGTAAAGTGTCAGTGGGGGGGGCCGGTAGCGGAGGGGAAGAAACTGTTCTTCAATAGTGAATTGTCTTCCTTATGAGGAATCTTCTTTTTGTCAATCTTCTGTTTTCTCAGAGGATGAACCCCCGAGTGATCCTGAGCCGGACCCGAATGTGTTGTCCGTCTCCGGAGTGAAACTATGCTGGGTCTGCGGTTGCCCCGGCAACAAAGCCTGCTCCCGCTGTCACAGCGTCACATACTGTGGAAAACCGCACCAGACCCTCCACTGGAAACACACACACAAGAGGGAGTGTGGCAGCCAAGGTAGGTAGGGGGGTGGGTGGGTGTGTGTGTGTGGGTGGGTGTGTCATTTAGGGATGTAACAATATACCGAATATGGCGGTAAATAAATGTCCCAATACCGTCGTGAGACTGACAAAATCTACCGCGATTGGAAATTTTTTTTTTTTTTTAAAAAATTATTAATTTGTTTTAAACACTTTTCTTTTTGTTTTAAACCTTTATTTAACCAGGTGGTCCCATTGAGATCATCGACCTCTTTTTCAAGAGAGACCTGTCCAACATGGCAGCAAGTAGGTTACAACATGAACATAAAACAACAGAACACAAAAGGACATCGTATTTACAGGGCTACATGTACATACCTAGAGACATTGACAAGTACCAACAGTATATGTATATCTCGCCCTGTCAATAAGCCTCACCTTCTTGGCAAAAACGGTATTGTTTTTGAAGTGGTGGAGAGACAATGCACAGTTTGACCCACTGCTGTCACCCATGGCCAAAGCATATCTCTCCGTCCCACTGAGATGGCGTTAGACTTTTTCGCTGTCCGTCATTTTGACAGACAGGATCGTAAAATGTCCGTCATAATCCCTTATTACCCGTCGGGTCTGAACAGTTCACGAGAGAGCACGCTCGTGAACTGTCAACGGGGGGGGCGGTGTTATGCCGTGTGTGCATGCACCTCGCGGGAGCGCGCACAGCGTAAAACAAAACCTCCCAGACATGTATTGATCTGTACAGCAAAGTACGGTTTGGAAACTATATCATTTCCTTTTGGAGGGCATGCATAACACGGCATAACACCAGAGCCTCGCTGCGGGGAAACGTTGGCGCTGTTCCGAGTTTGTTCTAATCTTTCAAAATGACAGACTGCTTTCAGATTTTTTCCGTCATTGTTAAATAAAATATTCGGTTAATGCGACCACTGCTGTCCCAGCAACATCAGTACCAAGCGAGAGAGTTTTTTCCAGAGCAGGGGATATTGTAAATGCCCAAACATCCCAGCTTATAAATACCTGGAAATGTGGACATTCTCATATTCCTAAAAACCTGTCTGATGATGCTGAGTGAGTGACTAGTGACACTTGATTTATTTTATTGCAGGGTCTGATTATTAAATGTCCTTGTTTATTTGTGAGATGCAGTGGCACAAAGAAAATGCCTACTTTGTTTGGTAGTACTATAGGTACAAACACACTGGTTTTCTTGTTCCAGTCTGTTACTGTCACTTTGTTTTTGACACTTTAAAATACTGCTATCCTACTAAAATGCTGTACAAATCAGATTTATTATTTAATAAAGAAACATTTTTCAAGTAAAAAATGTTGTTATTGAAAACAAATTTACATTTTTTTTCCCCCCCCTTTATTTTTCAATATCGCGATAAATACCGTACCGTGGACTTGTTATCGCGATATTATCGTACCGTGAGTTTTTGGTATCGTTACATCCCTAGTGTCATTGGATTAATACATGTGAAGTCATTATTATTATAGCTTGAGTTTAGAGTCACAGAGTTTCTATTAATTTATTAAACAATTCTTGTCCTCATATCTCTGTTGTGTCCTTGTCCGTTTGTATAGAAGCTCCCATTGTCACAAAATCAACCTTCCTCTTCCCTGAGTCTGAGCTGGTCACTGAACCAGAGGAGGAAGAGGAGGAGGAGGATGAAGACACAAAAGAGTCTAAAGAAGAAGAGGAAGAGAAACAGGGTGCAGACTCCTTAGCAGACGGTAAGCTTTCAATTATTTCTGATATGGAAAGTTGGGGAAGACATGTAGTTTCAGGAGTTCACTACACAAAATGCAAACTCTCATATTACACAAGTCTCACACAACGGCCTCTAACGTCTGTGGGAACAATGCTTTCATATGGTTGAAATGTCACTGTTATTTTGCAGGTAGAGCTTGAAAAGCTGTATAAAAGTTGTATGAGTGAATGTATGGTTTGTAGCAAATGAGCAAAGTGCTTTATATTTTTGGTCCAAACATAATACAGGACAGAACAAACTGTTGCATTAAGATTTAACTTGTATGGTTACTGTTGCTGCTACATGTTAAAATCATTAGGGATGCTCCGATCTATAAAGGCCGATCACATGACGTAAAATACACTTTTCTCTGTGCGCGGCAAAACAAGCTCGCCAAAATGGCTTCACCAGTCTGGCAGTATTTTAAGGTGTCCGAAAATGACAATAAAATAGGGGTATGTGTGTGAAGCAGAAATCCTGCAGCTCCACCCGCTGTGACGGACCGCTGAGCGGAGCAAAACACACACTAAGAGTTAGACCTAACACACTTAGCTATTTTATCTACCTCTGGAACAAGCTAAACTAGTTATACATATGTTTATTCTTCACTGTCGGGTCACTCATTACTGGATCAGTGAGCTGCATGAGACGATACTGACAGGCTGTCAGGAGAGAGAGAGAGAGAGAGAGGAAAAGAGAGAGAGAGGGGGAGAGAGGAAAAGAGAGCGCTTCCGCTCATTTCTCCCGTGTTATTATCCAAAGTTAATGTAAACTTGAATAATGTACATCATTTGAATGTAATAATTATGTTGGTTGTGGAAGCGCATTATGTATTGAAAAATGTATCTGAACTTTTCGATCCGCAAGGATTATAAACTGAAGCAATATAAAAATGAGCCCCATTAACTGAGTTTTAAACATCACTTTAAATGGAAGATCCCGGCGATCGGCCCCAAAATTCCCGATCGGAGCATCCCTAGAAATCATGTAACACTAATGCACTGAATGGTTACCTGGATAATGACAGGAGTTTCACTGCTGGAAGGCGTCGCCAGCACTGCTCTGTGATGTTGCTGCAGAAATGTTTTTGCTTTAATTTGTGGCTAAATTATTATGATCTGTATTCAGCCCTGGCAGAGACAGACCTGGAGGAGATGGCGATGCACGAGACTGAAGACAACAAAATTGTGCAGCGGTTCAAAAAGAGGATTGCACCAGAGCCACACCAGGTGAACAAACACACTAAGTCCAAACTTTTTTCACCTAGGACCACATACAGAAGAATATACGAAGGGCTGGGCCACTCACTAGAGTTATATTGCCTCATAAGTTCAGTTATAAGTTAGCACAAGCAATCAAATGTAGGTAAATGATGCTTGTGAGTGTTTGCAGCTCATCCTTTAAAACAGAAGCCTCAGTGATTATAATAAGGAGAAATAGGAAGGGTGTATTTCAAGCTTTTTATGTAAATAAGTCATTGGGCTTTTTTCTTATCAACTAAGATTTGTTAGAAAATGTTTCCAACTTTAATTGACTGAATTTATTTGAAAAGTGTTCTTATTAACACACGAATACTACTGTGTAATATAATTTTACATTTATATTTAAGAAGTACAATATAAGACGAGCACAAGTTTCATTTATGGGCCATATTCCATTATACTTTTTTAATTTGATGAGGGCCGATTCAAAATGGGCCGCATTTGGCCCCCGGGGCCTTAGTTTGGACACCCCTACACTTAGGATATGAAGTAAGAAAGATCTTGCCATTTTCTCTGAGTCCTTCTCACAGTGCTGTTTTGTTCAGGTGGTGCGGTACTGTCGAGGGGGCTCCCCCTTGTGGGTGTCTTCTCAGCACATCCCTTCAGATCAGGATATCCCACCATGCACCTGTGGCGCCAAGAGGATCTTTGAGTTTCAGGTATTCATTTATTGTCCTTCCATCTTCTTTATCCCTAGCTTTCGCCCTTCAACGCTGTCTCAAATGCCTACGTGCGATTATTTTGTCACACGTATTAAAAGTGTGTGTGCACGTTGGTGATAAAAAACAAGTTAAGGGGCATTTTATTTGTTTACATGACTTAAGTTGATAAAGACAGATCATCCATTGGGCACAGCTGTTACCGCTGCAAAAGTATAATGTTTACAGGTGTGTCCCACTCAGCTGCTTATTATGACCATTTTACACAAATTGTCTTATAGGACTAAATTATAAAGTGAGGACATTTTCTGCAGACATCATATAAACTGCAACTTGAGTGGTTGGCGTGACAGGCAGAATTATTCCCTGAACACAGTAGCTTATTCTAGCAAGTTTTATTGACCGAAACTGTGAGTATTATTCTGATAAATGAACATTATTCTACCGGGCAGATTGACTGACCCCGAAAGATACCGTCTGACTCTATGGATAGGCGATCTGACAGGATTACCTGCAGACATTTGCCAGAGAAACCAAGTGTTATTAGAGAAACAGGTCTAATCAATCTCAAGATGCATATAACTACTACCCCTGCTATTTGCAGTGAGAAGACAGTTATTTTCCTGTCCTTACAGATAATGCGCTGAGAATTAAAAGGGATGTTATTCCTTTTACTTCAATTATTGAATTATTATTATTCCATGAGTATGACAAACCTTTAAACACATAGCCATAACTATAAGAGATACAACTTTCCTTATCTGATATGTTTGCTACAATTACCAGCATTTTTAAGAACAACCCTTGTCTTATTATCTAATTTAACCATAGTTGTCTTCGTTTTCTCACCAGTGGTTTGGGATATATTTATAATTTGTAGGCATGAGTCCTATGATTCTGGCGACTAACAAGACAGCAGGATGACATTTGTTTACCTTTAACCTAGCTTTGTTTTCCCATCAGCTAACACTGTGACGTCAACACTGTCAGCACCTTAAAGGGTCAGTACATGGAATAATCTGTGTGTTTCTTCAGGTGATGCCCCAGCTGTTGAACAGTCTGTGTGTGGACTCTACAGGAGCCAGTATCGACTGGGGGACACTCGCTGTCTACGCCTGCTCAGCCAGCTGTAACAATGACGATCAGTACTGCCCCGAGTTCATATGGAAACAAGACTTCAGCTCAGATCGACTCACACAGACTCAACCTTCATAATATCTGTCACACTGATGCATGTGAAGCTCAGACAACTCTTGTCAGGAAACTGGTTTTCTCTCTGACTGCAGTGATCACACCTGTAGTGATGTCCCTGTACTTTATCTGATCAAACTCCTCTCTACGAGACTTTTAAGGACAATGAAGATTTTTTTTTGGAGGGGCAGATATTCACCGTCTGGATTAATAATAAAAGTTCAGATATTCAAACAGTTCTGCTTCCTTGCAACTCCCAAACCCTTTGTATTATTCTTTGACTTTTCACTGTTGGGAACAATGCATCGGTGGTGTTTCTGACTTATGGGTTCAAGGTTTTTTTGCCATATACTGTACTGTTTATACATTATATATGTTGGAGCCAATACTCCACAAAACAAAAGGAATATGTGACTTCCCACACAATGAAGTGTTTACCAACCTGTCTTAACAGCAGTGATATCATGTTCTGCATCATTTAGTGGACAAAGTGAGGCAAATCCTGTTTTGTTGTTAAAATACTATCAAAATGCAAAAAGAAACAACATACTGATATGAATGTAATTGTTTACATCCCATAAGAAATATATAATAATTTCAAATTATCCATCATTTGTTTGTATTTTATAACTTTAAAAGGATTCACCCAAGAACCCTGTGTAATCGTACTTTAAATTCTCTGGTGAAAAACCCCAAAGAACCGGTTATAGGTTTCCATCCTGAGCTTATGATGAAAGCAGTGTTAGTATTTAGTAATGACGGTTCATACATGTAAAGATCAAACTGAACTGCCCCCATTCACTTCTAATCGTGTTGCTTTTATGGCGAAGACATCCACAGTAAGACTTACAGACAGCCTTTTTTAACCCATCATGCACCTGGACCTCGATATGCCATCAGGCCACTTTCAAACTGAATGAACAAGAACAGCAGCGAGCATTGTTCCAGGAGAGACTGAATTGAGGCTCAAACAGCTTTTTTTTTTCAATGGCTTTATCAAGAAACATGTCAGGGAAGAAGTTGTTTTTTTTAACAACAAAAAATGTAAAAGCTCATCTCCTTATAACAATCTGTAAGAACAAGAGGCAAGAACTCAGACAATTTGACAAACGCCCAACTTCTGGCTAATATCAGCGTACACAGTACTGATTCATACACAAAACATGTGACTTTTCATTTCTGAATGTCCTAAAAACCAAATGGGTAAAAGAAATGAAAACAAATCAAATGCTTACAGATGGGAGAAACATGAATCTTTTAGCAATCTGTGAGAGAAGAAGATAAAGACAGCAGTAACTCATCAGTCCCAAGCCAGCTTTAGAAACTAAACGTGTACCATGGCATTAGGAAGAGTTATGGACTGAGAAATTCAATTTCCCGTCAAAGGCTCCTTAAGAACAATGGTGATACAAGAGGTGAAATAACTGATTACAATTATCAAGCAAGAAAAACCAACAGATGCAAAAGAGGCACCTTCATTTTTTAACCACCTCCATTTGACATCCCTTGTATTACAAATACTTAAAATCATCTAGAAGATTAAATAAGAGGTTTTCTGAGTGATGGTTTATCTGAACCAGCCAGACAACATGTGCGAAATAAAAATAACAATCTACTCCTGATGTCCCAGGAAAAACTCATATCTCAAACTTAGTAAAGGTTATGTAGATGACACACCATAACAAGAGGTTAACTGTTCTGAATGCATAAGTAAGTCTTTTTATTTACATCCTGACAATTAAGACCTTTGTGAGATACGGGCAGTTTTCATTGCATCCACACGAAAGGAAAGATGACTAACTGGACAGCAAACATTGACACATAAAAAGGTAGAAATTAGGCAAAAAGGCAAAGATTGCTTTAAATGATTAGAAATAGTAGTTAAAGCACTGGTGTATGAATAAAGGTTTTGATTCATGGACAAAGTAAGTATTTTCTCTCGTTAAGGAAATCAGTTTTCCACTAAGAGAAAGGACCTCTTTGTCTAGAAAACCGGGTCAAGCAGATGTAAACAAATCAGACAACTGTTTATCGGAAATGACAAATGTTCACTAGATTACTATTTAAGGACACTGAGCGCAAAGAATAATTTGGGAAAACAACAAATAGTAAACATTGACAATCACATATTGAGAGTGATGCCTATAATCTAGGAAGAGCAAACGCAGGCAGACAGAGCTTCAAATATCGATCGTCCCAAATATCAAATGTACAATGAGTAATTATTATTTCCTACACTAATTGTTTGCCAACTGTTTTAAGAACATATCTCAAACCTCACCAGAGCCGCATAAGATTATTTTCTGTTCAAGTTATCTGTGCATAACAGGCATGAACTCACACTGACCCGGAAAAACATTTTTTTAAATAATCGTACCAGTATTATGTGCAACATGTTAAACATTCTTCTGACAGTATATACAGAGGTGCACTGTGTTCCTGTACATGTTGCATATGCTACATAAAGTTAAGAATAGCTCATTGAAACCCATAAACGTACAGTTTTGGACTTGAGTCTCCATGGCAGCCATGTCAGCACACTGCAGAAAGAACAGTACGGGAGACAGGAGACCCATGTCCATGTGAATAAATACATAAATGCCCTACAGGTGACACAAATCAAAGTCTACATTAAAATCCAAACATTCATTCAGATTGATTTCATTCCAAGTAGTAGACCACAAAATGCTTGTTCATTTGAAAATGTGTGAATTAAAAAAGTCAACCATAAAAGCAACACTAGTGGCTGCAAAGATTTGTAAAATGCCATTGGGCCATTCCCATTGTGCAGTGTGTGTAGAACATATCTGAGCCCCCCAGTCAACAAACTGTACATTATATATACTTTTATATTATATATACTTTTTTTTTTTTTAAAACATCACCCTGGATTGCAGCTCATTTATTTTGTTCTTTTTCTTAACTGAGGGAGATGAGTCTTGGAGAAGTCGGTGAAAGTTTGTATCCAGTCATGGTAGATTTCACTACTAGTGACCTTAGAAATGTAGGTGTCACTGGCAGACGGTGCAGTGTTACCTTAGTTCAATAGGACACTTGAATGTCTAAACTTAGCTCGAGAATGAATACCCTTTTTAATGTGGACAGCATTGAGAGGCGTGCAGGTCAGTTCCTCCTCTTCTGTAAAGCACTCCGTTCTCCTCTTTCTCCTTCTGCCCTACTTTAACTCTCAAAGTCCTGTGGTAAGAAAAATCTCACCTAAGACTTTTAGGCTCAATGAACCCGGGGATTGTATTCAAAGAGTATTAAAAACGAAGTAGAGCAGGCTTAAAAATGCCAATATCTGATGTAATATTAACCAACCAACCAGCTAGCTCCACACAGCGCCAGGGACTGTGGCAGCTGCCTGGCTCCCTGACCTCATAAAACATCGTCCCAGGAAGCAGCAGGGGCTTCTGGACCCCCAGAGATCCACAGTGAGACCTGCTGCTCCTTAATGTTGACTAGCTGTTTGCTGCTATGACCCGGGGGCCAACCAATGCTGGATCTGAGATATCCCACTCTGCAGCTGGGCGACGTAGAAGTTCTGCGTTCCTGGAGAAGTCCTGACAGACGGAGGAGGTGGGGCGTCGCCCCAGAGCACAGTAAAGGGCGGTGCCACCCACACTGATCACTACGGTAACAAAACAAAGCAGGAAGAGTAAGCAGGCAGGAGTCTCCACTGCCAACATCTACAGAGGAGAGAGAAGAGAGATTTAGTTAGAGAGGAAGTGGATTCATCCTAATTAACCCTGACCAATTCCTGTGTTTGATGTTTTTATGGAGGTCTATACAGGTCTTTAAAGGTGGGGTAGGTAAGTTTGAGAAACCGGCTCGAGATACACTTTTTGTTATATTCCATGGAATGCTCTTAACATCCCGATAGCAATGAATATCTTAAGTGCTTTGACAAAAAATCCATTAAAAAATGTCATACTGTGGGAACCGTATACTGTAAAAAGCAAAACCAATCCGTTTAGCCGGCTCGGCTAAACGGATTGGATTGCCGGCCCTGTCTGTCAGCCTTCCATCTCGTGCATGCACAAATGTATCTCGTGCCCTCATTGGGCGTGCCGTCATTGGGCGTGATTGCGTGTTTCATGTGTGTTGGAGGAGGTGCTCTGTAAGGAAGTCTGAAGGAAGGGGGCGGATTCTTTTTCGGCTTTGTGTACTTTCAAATTTTAGTGCACTCGAGCCGGTTTCTGAAAACTTACCTACCCCACCTTTAACCTTTGGGAAATAAAATGAAAAACCCACCTGTTCACAGCCATCATCGGGACTTTGAAGCGGACGCGTCGTTGGCCGGGGTTTTGGTCCGGTCGGGGGGCTCTGAGCCGATCACACTGCACGTCTTCATACACACAGGACGCCTCTTTAATATGGACAACCAGGCCAGAGGCAGGAGACGCCTGACAAGAAAACAACAAAACAAAAACAAAGATGTTAGGAAGTTCAGACAATTATGTTTGACATAACATCATTTTCATTATATAAAATTACAGATGGATCTGTTCATATTCATACACGTCACCAGGCATGTCCACCAGGTGTCAGTACATCACACAATCAGCAGCTTTAAATCTCTATCAGTCAGGCTCACAGTACAATGCACTGCTTCCTTTGACAGAAGTTATGCACATTAGACTTCCAACTCTCATCCCAGGCTCAATGCAAAGTGATACAATACGTATAGGATTGCAAATTAACTTTGGCCATCGAGGTCGGGCAGAGTACCATTCGTATTTTGAAACACTTCACATTATTATCATGTATCATAATGCTATCATCCAACTGCTGCCAGACAGTGAGATAACTCTGCTCACAAGGTTGAGCTGAATGACAAATGAGAAAGTAAAAACACGATTTGGTGACTAAACTTTAATGTCAATGAACCTTTGGATGGGAAGCAGATTAAAATATGAGAATCTGTTTAGTACTATGACCTTTGTACTATATTTGTTACAAACACATGTTTTTAAGTCTGTAGTGAAATAAACACATCTGACGCAATAGTCGTGATATGTAGTAAAAACACAAGGCCATTTTTTTGAAAAAGTTATAGACCACCAAAACAGTGAAAGATATCTTCTTTATCAGTGGGGCAAAAAAGTATTTAGTCAGCCACCAATTGTGCAAGTTCTCCCACTTAAAAAGTTGAGAGAGGCCTGTAATTTTCATCCTAGGTACACTTCAACTATGAGAGACAGAATGAGAAGAAAAAAAAAAAAAATCCAGGAAATCACATTGTCTAATTTTTAAAGAATTATTTGCAATTATGCTGGAAAATAAGTATTTGGTCAATAACAAAAGTCCATCCCAATACTTTGTTATATACCCTTTGTTGGCAATGACAGAGGTCAAACGTTTTCTGTAAGTCTTCACAAGGTTTTCACACACTGTTGCTGGTATTTTTGGCCCATTCCTCCATGCAGATCTCCTCTAGAGCCGTGATGTTTTGGGGCTGTCGCGGGGCAACACAGACTTTCAACTCCCTCCAAAGATTTTCTATGGGTTGAGATCTGGAGACTGGCTAGGCACTCCCAGGATTTGACTAGGTCCCCCGTGTGGTTCTGGGATTTTATGCTCACCGTTTCTTGTGATCATTTTGAC